GAAAAGGAGCAAACTTAGAACAAACTTGTGGGTTACAAATAGAAGGGCTTTGGAGGTGTTACTTACAGGTTTAATAGGGGAGAAGGTGTAGGAAAGTTGCTTAGATAAAATTTTTTGTATACCTTAGGCAGTTTTCCCCAGCAACTTGAAGCCTCTACCTAGGGGACTGGATGGTACACACTGAGATCCAGACAGCTCACCCTGAGGGCCAAACGACTCACCCCAGGGGCTGAACGGCTCTCCCCAGGGGCCAGATGGCATACCCTAGGAGCTGTACATCTCACCCAAGGGCTAGATAGCTCTCCCTCGGGGCCGGATGGCACACCCAGGGGGCCAGATGGCTCATATCCATGCCAGAATGGCATAGCCTGGGGGCCAAACGGCTCACCTGAGGTCCTAACAGCTCACTCCAGGGACCAAATGGTTCTCCCTGGGGGCTTATGGCACACCACAGGATCCAGGTGGCGTACCCCCATACCAAAGCCTCCCTAAGGTCTGGACCCTGTGCATCGCTGAAGATCATGGCCAAGGACAGCACCTTCAGTTCCAGCTCCGCCATCATTGTCCACCCTTCCCATAAAGATTTAGCATGTGAAACATTAAGGGTATTCTTTGATTTCCAGATTTGCATCCTGGTAGCCTGTCTGTTAGGAGCTTGGCTGGTAACCAAAAGATTGGCAGTTAGACTCCACTCAGCAGCTCTGCAGGAGAAAGTTCTGGTAAATTGTACTCTGGAAGTTTACAACTGAGAAAACTCTATGGGACAGTTCTAGACTATCTTATTGGGTCATGATGACTTGGAATTTCCTCAATGACATTCTGACCAAAACAATAATAACATCTTCTTACAAAGATATCTCACAATTGCTGTCAAGCATATGGTGATTGTGATAGAATTGTCATTTCCTGCCTAGGAGAAACAGTTGTTACTTCTGGTGTCTTGATTTGATGATTGCAACTCCTTGACATTTGAATCAACACACCACTTAAAGACCATATGGAGAAGCAAATTGAGTCCTAATTGCTCTTTTAAAATGTTGAAGTTACTCCTTCTGGTAAAATTAAGAAAGGTCAGCATCAAAGCTTGCAGAATGGGTGACAAACTCTTGGAAGAAAATCCCAATGATAATGGTGGAGTATACTTTTTATAAATGTTGATCTTCAATGCTCTCACTTCATGGAGAAACATGTTGGCAAGAAAAACACTAACACTGGTAATCATGGCCTGAAAATATATTTTAAAAAATAGCCCTTTAAGTAGGAAGAAGTTTTTTTAATATATTAAAAGGATTTATTTTCATTTTATTACCCTGTTTATGTCAACTCAACCAACCCACTTCTGCAGAGTCAATTCTGATTCCTGGCAAACCTATACAACAAAGCAGGCCTGAAATTTTTCTAAAGTTTTAAATCTTTTCAGTAGAAAATTACTACATTTGTTTTCCCATGGAGCAGCTGGTAGGTTTTAACCATCCAACTTTTGTTCAGTCTATTCAGTACAGCTGAATGGTGAACTATGCTGCTTTCCTCCTTAAGTATAAAATAAAAATTCCAAAAAGTAGTTAAATACAACACTTTTTGGTGTTGTTTCTTAGGGAAACAAAATTATGTATCTTAGAGCAAATGGTGTTTGAAAGTTCATGAAATGGTATAACCCGCTCTTTATTGTTGTTGTTGATGGTGGACTGCTAAGAGAACAAACAGTTTCATCCTGCAGAGAGGGAAACCAGTCTGCTCCTTGGAGGCAAGGATTCTGAAGCTTCATTTGCCATACTTTGGACATGTAGCAAGGAAACCAGTCCTTGGAGAAGGATGTCATGCTTGGGAGAGTGGAGGGACAGAGCAAGAAAAGATGACCCTCGATGAGATGGATTGATTCAGTGACTGGGGTAAGGGAGCTAAGTGTGTCAGAAACAGTGTGATTGGCACTGGATAGGGTCGTTAATAGTCGCAGGCAACTCAATGGAACATAACAACAACAACCTCCTTGAGTCAGAACTGGCTCATAGCTGACACTCCTTCTAGTTTTCAGAGGCTGTAAAATTGTATGAGAAAAGATTACCCATCTTTCTCCCATAGAGTATTTGGTGAACTAGAAACTAGTGCCTTTGAATTGACAGTAGTACAACTCTAAACCCAGAAGGCCACCTAGTTCTCTATAAATTGAGTGTGCTTTAGCTTTGAGCCTTTATTCTGACAACCTGATGGCAAATTCAGCTTCATTTATGCTGTGCCTCCAGGGTCATGTGTTAGAGTCTGATGGAAAGATTAATGAAAATAAGAATAATAAGGGGGAAAGGGAAAATTGCAATTACATAATGAGTATTATAACTAAAGTTATGAAATGAAGTGTGAATGAAGAAGAATGGGTGAATGGGAAATTCATTTGCTTTGTACATGTTCACTCAAATCAGAGTAAAAGAAAAATATGACATATGTAAGGCCTGGTCTCAAAATACACAGCCAAAAAAACGCTATGGGACACTTTTAATTTTTTTTTAATCTTTCCTACATAATCCCTTTTATTTTCTTTATTCCCCTCTTTCTTTTTTGTTTTTAATTGTACAAATAGAAGGATAACTAGTAAAATATATATATATGGGGCCTGCACCAGGAGCTGAAGCCATGCCTATGCTGGGGAGCAAAGACAATACCACTACATAATGATTAAAAGGTCACTAGAACAAGAGGACATAACAATAATAAATATCTACGCACCAAATTATAAAGTTGCAAAATATATAAAACAAATATTAACAAAACTGAAAAAGGAAATAGACAACACCACTAGAGTAGTTGGAAACTTCAATACAGAACTACCAGGAAGAAACTCACAAAGATGCTGAAGAATTAAACCACATAATAAACTCACTAGATCTCTTAGATATTTATAGGCTAATGTACCCAAAAAAAGCACAGAATACCTTCTTCTCCAAAGTGCATGGAACATTCTCAAGAGTAGATAACATTTAGGTCATAAGGAAAGCATCAAAAAATTAAAAAGCATATAAATAATACAAAACATGTTCTCAAACAAAAATGCTACAAATTTAGAAATAAATAACAAGGGATGAGGAGGGGGGAAAGCCCATACATTTGGAAGCTGAACAACACCTTGCTTGAACCTGAATAGGTGCTACAGGAAATAAAAACTGGAATTAAAAATTTTCTTGAAACTAATGATGATGAAAACACCACTTACCAACACCTCTGTGAAACAGCCAAAGCAGTAATCAGAAGTCAATTTCTAGCAATATGCAAACACATCAAAAGGCAGGGAAAAAATGACCATTGACTCTCTAACGCAATATCTACAACAAATTGAAAAAGAACAGCAAGAAAAACAAACACTCTCTAAAAAAACTGAAATTCTAAAAATTAGGGCAGAAATAAATGAAATATAAAACAAAACAATTGAAAACATCAACAAAACCAGGAGTGGGTTCTTAAAAAATGTGACATAGCTGAGCCTCTACATCTTGTGGTTCCTAACCTGTACACTATAATAGACAAAGTGCTAGTCTATAGGCCTTTTATTTTAAGAACCACCTTCCCTCTGTAACTTGATTTGTGCCACTATTAGAACCTCTACTCGGAATATTATTGCTTGTTAATTT